ATGGTTTTCTTTACAATTTATTATTCCTCTATAGAAGTATCCCCTTGGATATTGTTTTCAAATGACTCTGGATAAGTATGCAGTTTCATGTGTTCTGTTTTCCAATGAAAACAGAGTAGTGTAAACGCAGCCATAAGCAATGATTTCAGCAGCATGCATGTGCACATGCCATTTGAGTAAATCACAAAAAGTTTCCCTCAATGGTTTATTACAGTATTAATGTTGGTACTTGTTTGAATGGACTAGCTCTCTTTCCTCCATAAAGTACCTCCCTTAAAGTACCTCCTACGGCATCACTAATATCACAGATTAAAGTAGCTTCCTCCCTTGCTACTCTCATACATGATGGACTGATATTAAATAACTAAAATGGACCAGATCAATGGAAAGAGGGAAGGAGAATATAAATAACAGTACTGATATCCTTCCTCTTACTTCTCCTATATGTTGTTTCAATTCTCCAACAGTCCAACCTTCTTCTCCTCTCACTGGCTTAGCTGGTCCTAATTCACCAGTTGACAGATCAACCATTGATACACTTAGATTAACATGATCTACACCATCAAACACATGTACATGTATAATTGGAGATATTGCCATGGTAACAAACCACATCCACCTCCAGCATTGTATTTGTTAAAGGTTTCATTTTCTTTACGAGTTTCTAGAAATAATCCATAATATCCGGTCACACCCATAATCTGTCCAATAGTTTGATACTGAAACTAAATTTAATAATAAGATAATTATAACAATATGTTAGATAAAACTTACTTCATCAAGATCAAAGGACTGTTCCATTACTTTATTCCTATAATCATATTTAACTAAACGGCATCTCTCAATGGGAATATGAGGAGCTAATTCCACTAACTGATAAAGAAATGAACAAAAATAGAAAATAAATAGAAATAGATAAACTAACAATATATACTAAACCTTATAAGCTTTATCCAGTACACTGGGTAGTAGTTCATCTTTATTTACTTTAAGTAATGAAATACAAGCAACAGGATGATTACAAAATAATAATATGATCTATTAAATAAAAGATATTAGATAATGTACTTAGTCTGTCTCATTCTTACTAAAAATATTTCTTCTTCTTTCTTTTGTCTCTGTCTCTCATCAATGTAACCTTTAATTTCTTTTATAATCTTCTCATTGTGCTTCCTTGCAGCAATTAGTTCCATATTCTTTAATGTTATTCTTTCTTGTAATTTCTCTATTATTCTTTTATTATCCACTAATGGCTGATAGTCTGGTCTTGTCATTGCTTCAAGATGAAATTTGCAGTCAGCAATTTCAAAAGATATTCCTCTTCTCACTTTGCTAGCAGCTTTAATCAATAATTATATAATTATCAGTATAATTAATAAAACTACTCTAACCTGAATCAGGATTAGTAGAAAGTGATCTCAAATACTCAATCTTCATCTTTGATAATTTGTCTGACAATTCTTTGTTTTCTTTTTGTATCTCATTAAACTGAGACCTCAATACAGTCAACTCTTCATAAAGTGGTTCTCCCTATTAATAATTATTATAATTAATACAAACTAATGAGATATACCTCAACTTCTTTAACTGATTCAGTATCACTTTGAACAAATTCTTCCTAATAATCAAAGTAATTATAATTAAATTTATGTAAATGATCAATGTGAAGAATTTAATACACTTCTAACCTCAGTTACTTGAATCATTGATATTTCTTGTTTCAATTCAATTGCTTCCTATATATACAATTAATATACATTGCACAGTCTGGTAGTATGACATACCTTCTCTTTGCTACTGATAGTATCTCTTAGTTT